CACTGTTCTGCCTGGTTTGTGTACACAGCAAGTAAAGCTTTATTAAATTCTATAGCTTGCAGTTGCTTCTTGGAAAGCTTAAATTCCACTCCCTCTGCATTAGTTAATTTCACTTTCTTCTTGGAGTCAAAGACATTTTGGTCCTTGTTAATGGTAATGATGTTATTTGCAATTACAGCTAGCAACCCCACATCTGTTGGCTTCAGTTTGATTATCTGATTGTAAAGTTGTAAAGCCTCCTCTGTACGACCCTGAAGCTGCAGTATATATGCCATCTACCATGAATGATGGCCAGTTCTGTCTGTGGGTCTTCCTCAGCCCCATCAGAATCTTCTGATAGTGATGGCGACAAAGATCTTCAGCTTTCTGTAGGATTTTCATTGCCTGGGTCAGTTGGCCTTGTCCTATCAGTGCACATGCAGCATTATAGCACAATTCGTACGTGCCTTCTTGTAGGCCCAAGTTTTCTGGAACCACTTTTTGCCAATTGCTCTGAGCTGCAACAACTGCTGAAAGGTTGGTTTTTCTCTCCTCATCATAATCATCTTGGGAGTTTTGCACAAGATCTCTATATACAGCTAAGCACTCATCATAGCGTTCCAATCGGTATAACACTTGTCCATAAAGCTCCTTTAGTTTGTCTGTCTGCTGGTTGGCACTTTCTATTGTCTTCAAGGCATTCTCAATTCTATTTAGCCTGTACTCGCAATATGCCTTCTCAAAGGAAAGAGAGTTGCTGAAAAAGAAAAAAAAGAGAATCTATTCTAAGGTAATACTGTCATCACAGTAGGCCAGACAATGCTTTCACTACCTGACACATTAGTTAGTCCTTGTAATAAGAGATGCAGTAAATGATGATGAAAAGTTAGTGGTGTGCACAAAAATCACAAAGCTAGTGACAAGAAATTATACCCATTCCCTTGTGTCTCATATGGTTACTTTCATGGATATTCTTATCAGAATGACTGGTCTTTTAAAGAAACATTTAAAAAGAAAATAATCAGTTCAATAACACATATTCTTAGAAACAAAGACAATATAAATATTTTAAGTGGATTATTTAAAGTTTGTTATCCACTAATCAAATAAGGTGTGGTATTACTGTGATTAGGTACTGCTGACTTGGAAGTGACTCACTGCTGACATTCCAGGGGGTTTTCAGATGCGGGAAATCATATGGGCGGTAATTTCCCATCTTTCTCCAGAGAAGCAGCTGGTGGATTCAAACTGCATACCTTGGGGTTGGCAGTATAAGTTATCACTAAGCCACCAGGGCTCCATAATAAGCATACAGTGTTTTAATTTGTTTAAACAGCAAATGATCAGCAAAGAAAAAGTCTCACACACACATTCTCTCTCTCTCGTGTGCGCTCACTCACACACACACATACACACACACACACCCCCGCAAACACTGGACTCCCAACCAACTAGTAAACATACTTCAAAAAAATCTTACAGACATTCAAAATTTAAAAATTCATTTAAACATTATACCATTTATGTCTCATTTTTACTTATTAACCACCATTTGTGAGGAGATAAGTATTTATGAATATAAATAATAATATCTTTCATTCACTGGCCTAATAAATATTAGGAAGCTCAGGTGGCTTAGTGGCAACGTTGTGTTGTCAACTCATAGGCATGTGGTTTGAATCCGCCACCTCCTCCGCAGGAAAAAGATGGACAAGCTCCTCTCATGTAATTTACTGCCTCTGAAAACCTGCTGGAGGGTCAGCCATGAGTTGGTTCCACCCTGACAATACACAGTATGATCTCTGGGTAAGAAGCTGTGCTGTGAACCCTAAATAAGGCATGAGGTTCTAATCTACCACTTGCTCCTTGGGAAGAAAATGGACAATTTCCTTCTGTGTAATGTATTGCTTCTAAAAATCTGTTGCATGGTCAGCTATGAGTTGGTTCTGACTCAATGGCAAACAACAAAAATGAATAAAGATTATGTGAAAGCTTCCCTACGTCATAAAGTCATTAAAATTTCTTATGCATTGAAAGACCAGAGTGAAGAAAAGACTCTTGAAGGTTAGGGGAAAAAAACAGGACAAAAAGCCTACTGTTCCTTTCTGTTACAGAAATACCACTGTCAACCAAAAGCAGAGAGGGGAAGGAAGTAAATCAGTTAGCAATGGAGGAGAAATCATAGAAATAATTTTAACTATACCAAAAGTGTTTCTAGTAACTGTACAACTAAACCACTTACTTGGCTAACACTTTGGTGTGAGTATTGATGACATTCAAGGCTTCCTTGAAACTTCCATTCTGGATAAGGCATACGACTTTACAGTGCAGGGCAGTTACATCATCCTTGTTGACCTGCAGTATCTTGTTGACGTGACGGTCTT